TCAAATAAATAAATAAAATCTTTATAAAAAAAAATATTTTCCCTCCTTGTTCTTTTATTGTTTGGGGAGAAAACTGGGATATAATTAGCTATACAGCTGTCATAGTACTCAGATATACAGAGGTCTTATTTCCTCTAATTTTTAAAAAGACTCTGTATAAGACTGGTATTATTTTTTTCTTAAATGTTTGGTAGAATTCACCAGTGAAACCTTCCGGGCCTCAAGTTTGCTTGGTAGAAACATTTTTGATAATGAATTCAATGTCTTTTAAAAGTATAGAGCTATTCAGTATTTCTATTTCTTCTTGAGTCATTTGAGTAAATTATATTTTTAAAGGGATTTGTCCATTATATTTGTCCATGTACATTACCAAATATATTAGCTTGAAGTTGTTCATAATATTTCCTATTCTCATTTTTAATGTCTGTAGAATTTGTAGTCGTACCTCCTCCTTCATTCCTGATATTAGTAATTTGTGTTTTCTCTCATTTTTTTTTTCTTGACTAGTCTTGCTAGGGCATTATAAATTTTGTTATCTTTTTTAATACCAAATTTTGGCTTTAGAATTGTATTGTGTGTATGTCTTACAAATTTCTTTGTTTCTACTTACTTTGGGTTTAGTTTATGCTTCTTTTTTGCAGCTTCTTCAGATAGAAACTTAATTTTTCTTACTTTAAATCCTTCTTTCTAGTTAGGCATTCGAAGTTATAAATTTCTCTGTAAGTACTTTAAATGCATCCCACAAATTTTGATATGTTGTATTTTCGCTACGCAGTTTGAAATATTTTCTTTGACCCATAGGATATTTAGAAATGTGTTGCTTAATTTATACATACTTGAGGATTTTCTAGATACATTTTTCTTATGGATAATTTAATGCATTGGTAGTCAGAGAATATACCTTGTAATTTCAATCTTTTGAAATCTATTGAGACTTAATTTATGGCCCAATTTATATCCTACCTAGGTGAATGTTTCATGTTCACTTGAAAAGAATTGTACTTTGCAGTTGTTTGGTGCAGTGTTTTATAAATGTCAATTAAGCCAAGTCGGTTGATAGTGTTCAGATCTCTACATCTTTATTAATACTTTGTATAGTTGTTTTAACATTAGTGAGCAAGGAATGTTAAAATCAACTACGGTTGTGGGTTTGTCTATTTTTCGTTTTAGTCTGTCACCCTTTGCTTCATGTATTTTAAATGTCTGTCATTAGGTAGAAACACATTACAGATTAGATATCTTACAAATGAATTGCTCCTTTATAAACATTATGAAGTGCCTCCCCTGTTATCTCTAGTAATACTCTGACTTGAAGTCTACTCTGTCTAATATTAATATACCAAAACCACTTTTCTTATGCTTGTTGTTTACAGAGTATATTTTTTCCTTTTGTTTTACACTTTATCTGTGTCTTTAAAATGTCTCTTTTTAGAAAGCTTAGAGTTGAGTCTTGCTTTTTTACTCAGTCTGATAATCTCTGCCTTTTACTTGGAGTATTTGGTCCATTTGCATTTAATGTAATGATTGATATGGGGGGGTAAGTTTACCATTTCATATTTGTTTTATTTTTGTCCCTTCTGAATTTTGGGGGGTTTTGTTTGTTTACTGTGTTGTGTTTTTCTTGCCTTCTTTTGGACTAATCAATATTTTTAAATATTCAATAGTATTTCATCTAAGCTTTGTGGCTCTACCTCTTATTATTATTTTCTAAGCAGCTGGGCCAAAAATACACATCCATAACTCATCAAAGTCTACCTAGAGTTAACGAGGTATCACTTAATCCTGCCACCACACATCTGACACTTTCCATTTCTGATGATCATTCTGACATTTTCTGTCTCGAAACAGAATTTAGGACTTAACCACATCAATAATTACAAAATGAAAATAGACAAATACTCCAATTAAAAGACATAGATAATCAAGACTGGATAAAAAAGCAAGACCCAATTATAAGGCTGTCTAAAATCTCAACCTCTAGGAGAGGGTACCTGAAAGAAAGAATCACAGAAACAGACCAAGGGACATGTGGGTAAGGGCCACAAATTTCAGGGCTGGGATCATAGCATGACAAAACCTGAGCCCTGTGAGGAGTGCACATTGCCTTCCTGGCTCAGTTTCCAGGTATGCTGGGACATTCCACTGAACATTCTGCCATCTAATTAGGTATTTTCCAAAAATCATTCATCAGAAAGCACGCCCAGGTCCTTCTGAGCCAGGTGAGGTGGCTACACATTCACTTGCAACTTGCAATTTCTCCAAATGGCAGAGGCTCCTAAGGAGAATTTTAGCCTGACCCACATTGCCCAACGGGCACAGAGCAGATTTACCTGCTGGGTACCAGTAGCAACACAGGAAGATGAGCCAGAAAAGGCTAGAGCCAGGCTGTACCACCTATGAGCTGTGTGACCTTGGGCGAACCACTTCAGGCTCTGAGTTACGGGGTCCTCATCTACAATGGGCACAGGAAAGCCTAGGGCTGCTGTTTATGTGAACAGTGCCCTCTGCAGGAGTGCAGTGCATATTCTGCACAGCCACAAGTGGAGGCCCTGATAAAGCCCACTTTGCAGAGGTGCTGTGAGCAGTTTTTGAGGTAGAGTGTTAAAAACAATGACCTCAGAGCCTGACAAGTGAGCAGAATAAATCAATTATGGTCCATCCATCCAGTGGAATACCATACAGCCATTAAAACTCATGATTGAGACCTCTGTTTACTGAGGCAGAAAAACTCCTCATGCTTTATTGTAAATGGAAAAATGCAGCCTATACCAAGGATAATTTGATCTGGTTTCCATCACCACAAATATGGATATATATGCATGGAAAATCCTACAGGAGAACCCCAAAGTGTTGTCAGATTTGGAGTGCAGAGTTTTTCCTTTGTTAAGATTTCCACATTTTTCTATCATGAACATGCTTTCAATTTGAAATTAGAAAAAAAAAATCAAAATTTATTTTTTGTTGGCTCTTTTCCTTTCCATCTATGACTCCTCTCTGAATTTCATCTATAAAATTGAAATAATGATAAAAAGAGAAAAAATAGCGCTGCAGATATCTTATCCTACTTAGTACCTAAGGCAGGAATTAGGACATTCATATTACAGAGGAGGAAATGGATTCTTGGAGAGGGCAATGTTCCTGTAGACAAGGTAATGCTCTCTCTTCACAGGGCCGCCCTGTGGTTTCATGCCAGGAAGGAGCATGGATGTTTGGCGAAGTGTCAGGTGCTCACAGTGGGCAGTAGGATGGCATGGTCAAAGCATGGACTCTGGAGCCAGACGGTGTATATTAAATCTCAGCCGTGTCCCTTCCAGCTTGTGTAACCTTACATAAGTCATTTCACCTCTCTGAGCCTCAGCTTCTTTATCTATAAAATAGGGGTAGCAAAAGTGCCACGTTGGAGGGCTGAGCTGAGGATCACATGAGACAGTTCCTGCCCAGAGTCAGCACTTGGTGAGTGAGACCTTTCATCATATTAATATTCTCTAGTCTAGCTCTGGACTCCTGGGTTCAGCAGGGACTGTCTCTCTCTCTCTGACATACATTATCCAGAGGAAGGGGGACCCTGAGTGGTCACAGAGCATAGCTTTGTAATCATGTTCCTGCTCTGATGTCCATATACCCCACTCTGCCAGTGTGGTGGGTTAGAGGGATGCTTCCCTATCTGTGCATGCTACACAAAACAGGACACTGTGGACTAGCATTTTCAACAGAGGCAGTGTGGCTCCCAGGGGTGCCTGGGGGTGGTTGCAATAAATGGGGGCATGACTAGCACTGAGTAGATGGAGGCCAGAATGGCTAAGCTCCCTGTGCTACTCTCAACAAATGGCTCTACTAAACATTCTTGTAGGTGAAAAACTTTAGACTTAACTGAGGTTAGAATCTGTTTGTCATAATAACACAAACTATTTTCACACTTTTTAAAAAATACACACTGAATTTTCCTAGAATTCAAACACCATGTAAATCAAGGCAAGAGTAATTCACCATTTTGTGCAATCACCTCAGCAACAATAACTCTGCCTGTAGTGTAGTTGAAATAAACACTCGCCAATCTATACTTAAGAATGTCACATTCATTGTGATTCTGCATCTTAGAAGAGGGAAAGGGAGAGAGATTCTCCAAGCAGAGGGAATAGTATGTGCAAAGACCCTGTGGTGGGAGGGAGCAAGTGATGTTGCAAAAGCAGACCACCGCAGAGGGGCAGCATGAGGGTGGGGGAATGATGTGGGTGGAGAAGCTACAAAGGCTGGGCAACACAGGGCCTTGGGGCCCTGCTAAGAATCCAGTACTATGAGAAGCTAAGAAAAGCTTTCCATCAGAGAAGGACATGTTCAGATTTGCATTTTGAAAGAAGCCAGTCTGCACATGGAACCGAAGGGGCAGGAGTGGAGGCTGGAGGCCAGTGAAAGGTTCCTGCAGTCACATAGGTGAGCAGTGATGGTGGTCTGGGCTGGTGGGGAGATAGCATTGCTGGGGCAAAGTACACGAAGTGGAGTGACGCCCAGAAGGCAGAAGCTATACAACTTGGGGATGTCTTAGATATGGGAGTGAGGAGGTGTCACAGTTTCTCTCCCACGATCCTGGTTTGAGGATGGATGGTGGGGCCACCTTCTAAGACCTGAACCCAGGAGAAGAATTAGCTGAGGAGGCAGATCGCATTTGCACCATGACCATCAATCACCCAAGGCCTCCCTCGCCTTTGGCAGACTTACCTGACTCTGCCACCTCGGCAATGGGCACCCCCTGCTCGTATGCCATGAAGCCCAGGACTGAGAAGATGGCAAAGCCAGCCACAAAGCTGGTGCCACTGTTGAGGCAACAAAGCATGATGCAGTCCCTGTGGGGAAGCAGTGAGAGGGGCTGAGGTCAGAGTGGGTGAACAGGTACAGTGCTCGAATATTCTATATGAGCACCACAGCCATCCTGTGGGGCAGGCAGGGCATGGTGGGCAAGGATAGCCCCATTGGCCTGATGAAGCCATTGTGGTTCAGAGAGGTTAGGTGGCTGACCCATGGTCACACAGCTTCTCCTGCCTTTCTAGAAGATAAGGTGGGTCATGGACCAGAAGCATGGAAGAGGGATAGGAAGGAAGAAAGGCTGGCAAGTGAGAAAATGCACAACTAGTGAGAAGATACTTGGAGACAAAGCAACGCTCCTCCAAATCCCTGGCAGGAGAGGAAACCAGGGAAAGCGAGAAAGGAGTGATTTCCTGGGAGCTCAAAGCAAGGAGGGCAGGAGAGACCTCTGAGAAATGGCTGCTTCTCAGTCAGGGGAGCATCCATGGACTTCACACTAGAAGCTCTCACCAGCTTCAGGAGGAGACACCCTGTCATGCCAGGCTATTTACTGGAGCAGCACCTCACAGCCCTCTCTGCTCAGTCCCTGTGAGGGAGCGGCCCCTTCCAGGCTGGCTGCCATACAGAGGGATTATCAGAGCAGGGACTGTCTCTTGCCCTTGGGAGGGGCTTACCTGCAAAGGAGCGCCAGCATAAAGCTGCAACCCAGGAGAAATCAAGAGTGTAAACGATGGGGCTTTGCCAAGACAAAGGCAGAACCCTCAAGTCCCGGCCTCCCCTCCCTCAGGCCCTGCATCCTCACAAGGCCACAGTGGGGAACAGGCCTCTTCGGGGTGTCTCAGCACGCACTTGCTAGTTAGGCTTAGGGCACACGTGATGCCCCACCTTAGAGGGAGGTGCTCCTGAGCGGCCTGTCCAGCCTCTTGTCTGAGGTAGGACTCTGGAGCATCCCTGTGGTGGCGGCAGGCTGCCTCTGGTCACACCCCAGCAAGCCTCGTCACCTTGTTCCATGGCGCTTTCCCCTGGCTGGCCCGCCGGTCTGTGCTGCTTACAGCAGTAAGAACTTCCTCAGGTGTGTTTGGCCCAAACCTGCCTTCTCTGGTGAGTTTTAGTTCTGCCCTTCCTACCAGCCTGGAGCTCCTTCAGGTTTGGGAGATCTGAAGAGAGTGGCCTTACATCCCCTTTGAGGTTTTTTTTGTGCTCCTTCAGTTAACTGTCCCAGTTCCTTTACCAGGTCCTCATCCTGTTCATGTTCTGTAATACACTCCAGCTTGTCTGGCCCCTCTTCAAATGCCACATCCAGGACTAAGCGCTAGACTCAAGAACACAGCAGGACTCTCATCTCCTCTTCTCCTGACAGCATACTTTTTATAATGTAACCAAAGGTTACATTAATGTTGGTGACTGTGACACCCAGTTGCCCTGCAATGACTCTGAGAATCAAGGACATATTGGAGAAGGCATGACCCTGGGGGTCAGGAGCCATGGGCCCCACTTCCCCCTGCAATTCTTTTCTCTGGACCTGAGCTCACCATAAGACAAAATGTTTGATAACAGGGTTTCTTGGGCCTTATGACAGATTATTAATTTTCCTGCAAGTAGTCATCTCCCTCTACCTTCTTCCTTGGGGATGAGTATATTTCCCTGCCCCACTGGCTTTGGGCTTAGCCACACAACTTTCTTCGGCCACAGGATACTAGCAGATGTGACACAAACAGAGGCTTGAGATATGCTTTTGTGACTGAACTTGTCCCTTATGCCTTTTGTGATTTGCCAGGAAAGGAACTTCCCCAGGGGAGCTGCTGTCCTTGTAGTCTGCACCCCACAATGTACACACACAGAGCAGACTTGGGCTTGCCTGTACCCTGGAACCAAGCCCAACCAATTCACAGCCTGCTAGAGAGCTTCCCTAGCTGGCCAGACTTGGGAGCAATAAGAGCAAATGCTTGTCATGTTAAACCACTGAGTTCTTGGGGCTGTTTGTTATCCAGCATTACTGTGGCAGCGAGGGACTGATTACAGGTCTCTTTAAAGAAGTCCTCCGGCACTGTACATGAGGGCTGGGCTGGCAGACCTGAAGATTTTATCTGCAAGCCTGATTTCTCTCCTTTTAAAGGGAAATGCAGCTCAGCCCAGGTAAGGGGAGATTTATCCCCAAGGTCGGGGTAAAGCTCTTCCTCATGCCTATTTCCTGACCCTGCCTCATCAAACAGTGGGAAACAAGGTGGCCCTGGTGAGGAAAGTGCTTTCTCTCTATCTTCTACATTCTGGAATTCTCCTGTATAATCTGAATCTGCAATGTGCCTAGTCCTGTGCTAGGGTTTCTTGAATACTGTGTCACTGAATCTTGAGGCTTAGGGAGGAGAGTCACATACTCAAGGTTTCAGGGGCTTCTACTGGTGAGGTTCGAATGTGCATCCATTTATCTCAGACATTAAAACCCATGCATTTTCCAGGAGCTGCACAAAAACAATGCCCCCTAAGAATTAAGACTTTCAGATCCTGACTTGTGGACAATTATCTATGGGCACCCACGTGGTTGTTGAAAAACAAATATCCCTTATTGCAAAGTCTCCACCTGTCCCCAGAGGCCTCCTGAGTGATTTCCTCACACCACAGGACAGAAGAGCACTGAGCAGACCTGAGGTCCCTTCCAGCCCTTCGTCCCATACCCTGGCCCTCAGAGCACCCACACCTTCAAGCAGAAGGGGCTTAGCAAGCCTGTGTTCTGAAGTGAGGATTTGCCCCCGCCTGGTTTGCTGTATTCCCCCATCCCTCTACTTCTTTCCTGCAGGGCACCTTCTAGGTGAAAAGCTTATGTAACAAGCGCTTTAAAGTTGGCAGGAGCTGAGCTGGGCTTTGAAGACCTCCAGAAGCTATTATGCTGTCAGAAGAGAGGGTAGTAATTTACTCTCTGAGTTGGGAAGACCTGCTCGCAGAACAATCTGGAAATGGAAATAAAATGGGCCCTTGGATTTTGCAATATCACCTAGGGGATCTGCTTTCTTCTGCCCCTGGGAGGGGGAACACCCTGTCTATTGGGCAGGACAGCAGAAGGGATCTGTGGCGGCCAGCATATTTTACCCACATGCTTGGTGGGGAAGAGAGTCGCCACTGCCCCACAATACCACCTGAAGACAGGGCAGCCTTGGCCAAATTCTTGTCAGCTGCAGTTGTTGGGAAAGAACTGGCCATCCCTGTTAGTGAGGAACAGGGGTGCAGGAACCAGAAAGGCCTGGGTTCAAAGCTATGTTCCACCACTGGTCATGTGAACATGAGCAAGTGACCTACTCTTGGGCTTCAGTTTCCTCATCTGTATAACAGATGGCTCCTTCCTTGCTTCCTGACACAGCAGTCGACACATACTAGGCTTGAGGGATGGTGGGGACCAAGACCCAGCCTGTGTCCTCACGGAACTGACAGCCACGCAGTGACCAAGTGATTTCTGCAGTGCCCTGCATGGAGGGCTCATGCTGAGTGCTGGCTCCTGATGGGGTGACAGCCGTATGCAGACAGCATCCTTCTCTAACATCCCAAGGGGGTCAGGCTCAACCCAGACCAGAGGCCTGCTGTGCTGTTCTCCCTGTCCCAGTGCCTTTTTCTTCCTGTCCATGGTGACTATTTTGTATCATGGCTGACAGAGTGCTTTGCCTCTCATCCCCCAGACCTGCCTCCGTGTGAATGGCTGGAAGGCAGAAGGATCTTATGGACAACCTGGCATGGTCAATCACCTCTCTAGCATCCTTCTGTCCAGCCCTACCCAATACCTCTCTGCCCAAGGGCTCCCAGGAACAACAGAACTTGCTGTCCAAAGGCACACTGGATTCCACAATGGCTTTTCCTTAGAGCATGTTGGACCTGCCCACTGTCACTTCCTTGGTGCCTCAGTTTCCCCAACTTATGAACTCTATAGACTGAGGCTGTGCCATTCCTGTGTGTATCTCCTAATGTACAGATTCTGGTGTCTCACACTCAGCAGACACACAATGCACATGGTTTTAGCAAATGGGTTAATAAAGTGATCATGAAGCTAGCTTTCAGAGAGATATGCCAGAGTCCTGGGATAGAAACCGGGAGACCTCAGCCTGAGTCCAAGCTCTGCTGTGTGTAGCTGGGGATAATGTGGGAGGAACTTTATCACTGCTAAAAGTTCTTTCAAATGCATGATCTCACTTGAGCCATACAGCAACCAAGTTGTCTGGCTATTAGGTACAAGTCCACTGAAGAACTACCTACTATGACCAGGCACTGGATTAAGGGGTGCAGAGACCTCAGTAAACAGACCATTGGCCTAGAGCTAGAGCCCAGGGTGCCAATTTCACTTCTACCATGTACTGCTATGCTAGGTGACCTTGGGTGGGTTCTTGGCCCTCACATTAGGTCTCAGCCTCACAGTAGAAATCAGGCTACAAGCATGAGAGGCCAGGCAGCCAGGGTGAGACAACCTCGGGGTTAACCCCCCAACCTGGGCACTTCCCTTCCCAGTGCTGGGTGTGGCCACATGCAGGAGGCCAGGGAGGAAGGCTGAGGGGCAAGATGGGGCACTGGCCACTCCAGATAGGACAGGAGAGGACCCTACAATCAAGTGAGAAGGGGAAGGAAGCAGGTTTCTGAACAGAAGGCAGAAGGACAAAGCCCTCACTGTCAGAAGACCGGGCTCAAGTCCCAGTTTTGACATTAATAGCTATGTGACCATGGGCAAGTCACTTATCTGCCCTGGGATGGAGGCCTGAATAAGATTCCTGGAGTGGATTCGCTTTCAGCCTGCAACGCTCTCTGATCACATTCATTATTTTCCTAGCTCCTCGGGTGGCCCACTCTTTGACCCTTGGGCAGGGAGAGGCTAAGAAACAAGCCATCTGTCTCGTCCTGGCTCTACGCGACAGGAAGACAAACGTGAACTGACCTGGTAGCACGGAGGCATTTGGTGGAGTGCTGGTAGGGCTGTGAAATGCTCACCTGTAGCAGTTGTTGTTATAATTGTTATAACTTCCCAGAGCAGTCAGACAACCCAGGCAGATGGCATAGGAGAAAAAGATCTGCGTCCCAGCATCTACCCAGACCTGCGGGAGGGCACAAAGAAGTCAGCATGAAAAGAAGTCAGATGAGGGGTGGCCCCATTCTCGGAAATCCCCCACCCACACCTTACCTTCCAAAAAGTCTAAAATCAATAATCAAACTTCCTAATCTTCTCAGGAAAGTGTTTTAGGAGTTCTATTATTGGGGACTGCTTCATTAAATATAAATGTCCTTAATTCCAGAATTTTCTAGAGGTTATGGATAACAGTTCACTGAACAGCAAGAATTTGGATGTTTAGGTCCCTGCTCCAGCTACATGACCTTGGAAAAGCTACTTAACCTCTCTGAGGCTTAGTCTCCTCATCTGCAAACTGGGGAATGAACTTCCGTCTCAGGACTATTAAGAGGATTCAGGTAATATGGAATGGAAGCTCCTGGGACCCAGCTCATAAGCTAAGGCATATTTAAGCCAAAATGAGTGATTGCTTATCTTTGTGATTAAGAATACCATGAGTAAACTGTCACAGGATTCTGCCCCTGGGAAAATATCTGCATAGCTGATCTGAGCATCAGAGGTGGCAGGGAAGGGACAGGAGAAGGGGGAGGCCCACCTGTATTTTCCACCTTTCAAAACAGATGCATTTTAGGCTTCCTATGTGGTATGTAATGGAAACTACTTTCTTAGGTTCCTCTCTGACAAAAACTGCTGTTGACAGCATGACACACACACCAGGAATTATGATGACTTCTTTAGCACTTTTCCCCAGGCTCTTCCTGCTCTCAGCTCCAAGAAAAATCCATAGCTAAAAGCTAAATGCAGCCGATGACACTGATGCTTGAGAATCAGGTGCCATCTAGGGAACAAGACTTTGCACTAAATACAAATACCAGCTAACATTTATTGAGCACTTGTTATGTGCCAGGCATCGGTGCTGAGCCCTTTGTGCATTATGGCACTTGACTATTCACAGCCACCCTATGTAGTAAGTGCTATTATTATCCCCCTTTTACAGCTGAGGCAACAGGAACGGAGAAGTTGAAAAACTTATTCAAGACCACACAGCTGGGGGTGGCAAAGGCAAGTCCATGGAGACCGGCCTCTAGAGATCCATGCCTAACCAATTCCAGAATTTCAGAAGTCCTCCAGGGTCATCTCCCACCCAGTACAAGACTCTCTTCTGACTACTCCTGACAGAATAGTTTCTGTTTGATTACTGCTAGTGACAGGAGACTCACTATATCCTGATGCAGCCCTTTCTTCTTTAGAGAGTTCTAACCATTAGAACATTTCTGAAAATGAGAAGAAATCCCCCTTCCTGAAGGTGTTCCTAGTTCTGGGGCCATCCAGACCACACCTTCCTCTTCTGTGTAGTAGCACTTTAGAGATTTGGAGAAAGCATCAGTGCCCCTTGGATCCTAGAACTCTTCCTTCTCCAAGCAAAATAACTCTATTTCCTCTCTCAGGGATTTGATTTTAACAGTACAGTTCACTCTACCCTGGATTTGCTTGAGTTTGTTAAATTATTCAACAAATACTTATTAAAATTGAGGATCATAATGCTGCTTCTCAACCTAAGAAATGATACATTTTTTTCTCCCTCAGTGGAGTGTCTTGGAACTGAATGAGGAACTTAAGGAGAGCTCTTTCATGAAGAGTGTGTGTGTGTGTGTGTGCGTGTGCACGCGTAGAGCGGGGATGCCAGCAGATCAGAGTGGCTTGAGACATGGGGAGGAGGAAATGGAAAGATGGAATAAAAAAAAAAGCTTTTTCAGGAAGTTTTGCCACAGAGGGGAATTGGGAGATAGTTGGAAGGGTAATTTAGGGAGAAATTTTTTTAAAATGGTAGAACTCAAGGATGCTTAAATGTTGATAGGAAGGGTCCAGTGCAGATAAAAGTGTTAATGTAGGAGAGAAACGTATGCATTTTCAAGTCCTCCCACTCTGCCTCAGTTTCCCCATTTGCTACCTCAGTGGATTCTTTTTTTTTTTAAGATTTTATTTATTTATTTGATAGAGAGAGAGAGAGCGAGAGCAGGAACACAAGCAGGGGGAGTGGGAGTTGGAGAAGCAGGCTTCCCGCCGAGCAGGGAGCCCGATGTGGGGCTCGATCCCAGGACCCCAGGATCATGACCTGAACCGAAGGCAGAGGTTTAACGACTGAGCCACCCAGGCGCCCCTCAGTGGATTCTCTTTACCCCAATCCAGGGTAGTGACTTATACCAGGTACTCAAATCCCCAAGAGGAAGAAAACAGGTATTTTGCCTGGAGAAGGGAGCGTTCTAGTGTCCAAGGGCACTGGTGCTTTCTCTGAATCTCTAATCTAAGACCAGTAGTAAATTGTAAGGAGGGGTAAAACACAATACAGTTGCTGCCCCAGGAAACAGAAGACCAGGTCATAGGAGCCACCTACCGGGACACTCGGCACTCAGTCAAGCACTGCTCCTCAAGTCCCTCACTCTCGCTGGAAATGCCTCTGCAAATTAAATGTCCCTCCTCTCAGACCCCACATTGTCCTCTGGCTGAGTGTGCAGGCCAGAGTGAGAAAAATCACCAGACTTGCAGGAAATCTGGCTTCTCCATCAATTGGTTGGAGTTGGTTCCTCTCTACCCAAAACATGGTAAACAAGCCCTCTGTGAGTTTGAAAACACCAGAGAGCTTTCTATCCACACATCCCAAAGATGGGACCCCTGAAGGATGATGTTCACCTGTGGGAATTTTCCTTGCAGTCGGCTCATTGAGCACATCAACAGTAAAACGGACATCTGCTGTTTTTGCCCACCCAGCATCCATCTCCCCTTTTCAGGTAAGAGTGACCTAATTTTTCTTTGGTAAAGCACCTTTTCTCCACTGGGAGGTAGTTTCGGGCGCAGTCACGTGACCCAGGCCTGGCCAACCAAAGCATTTCTATTGGTCATAGTGATTGGTTCAGGGATGAGCTTATGATGCAAGCCAAGCCAATGAAACTTAATCCTGGACTTTTACTGGAGCTACTGAAAATGGGACACATCTTTTTCTCCTGGGGATCATCACTGACCACAAGGGAAGAGCCTGTCTGAGAATAAAACCAATGCGGAGGAAAGCAGTCTAGAGCAAAGAAAGACTGATATTGGTGTAATGACTTAAGTACCTGGATCCAGCCATACCTGAAATGAAACATACCCTAAAACATTTCGATTTTAGGGGCCTATAAATTCCTCTTTTTCTTAAGTCAACTTGAATTGGATTGCTGTCACTTCAGACTCAAATAATTCTGACTAGTAGCAACATTAAGTTCTTAGAAAAACCCAGGGGCTGTGAGCCCAAATCCCTCAATTAATCCTCAGTTACTGATGAACTAGCATTTATTGAGTGCCTTCTGCATGGAGAACTCTGTGTCAGAATCTGAAAGAAGTACTACACAATTATATATAACACTGCATCTGTGTTTCTTGGTGAGATAAGGTAAAACATTCAGAGGACAAGGGAGCCAGTACCTAGGAGTGGTTGATGAAGGGGACAATTAACATGTGCTAGGGCAATCAAAGAAGGCTGTCTGGATGGAGGCACACCTTTAGAGACTGGAGAAAGGATGAGAGAAGACGTCTTGGGTCCGGAGGTTCATGTGAGGGGGGATGTACTTTCAAATGATTTTTCCCTCTTGTTCTCCTACCTCTGTGGTAAAAAGCCTATCACTGTTATTCTGATGATTAGCATTAAATCAATACAATTCCTTTAGTCCTCCCCCTCTGTGACACTGGGGGTTGGTTCCCAACTATGAGACCGAAATTAGCCAGTAGTCTCAGTTTCTTCTCCTTCCCTTTCCTCTAACATCTAATTAGAAGAAATACTCATTTGTTTCCAGTTGATATGTAAGGGCAATATGTGAATGTATTCTATTTTTCATATACACACTCCATTCTTTTGTAATTTTTAATACTTGTCTCTGCGTGATCAGAATGTACAATTATAGTATCTCTTTGACAGCCACTTTTTAGTGTGAGTTCTACAGGTGACTAGAAATTAATTCTCCCTCCCAGCGCTTATGTTAATTCCTCTCCAGTCAGTTTGGTTGCCTGTAGCTTGTTCTCTAGTAAGTTCCTTAGGCAAGGCTCATGGGAAATAATATTTCCTGGCTTCTTGCATGTTCATAATAGTTGACCAATGGCTTTCATACTTGAACACGTATGGCTATATACAATGTCCTTGGTTCTTTTGTTCTTTCCCTGAGTATCTTAAATACCTTGCTCAGTTGTCCCCTGGCACTGAGTGCTGCTGTAGGAAAGTCTGATACCATTCTTACTCATTTCCTCTTTTTGTCTGAATGACCAACAGGTTTTTTCTTTTCTCTTTAATGTTCAGTCATTTTGATTAGAATAAGTCTTAATGTTGATCACTCTGGGTTGATTTCCCCAGGCTTGTGGTGTACTTCTTCAAGACATAATTCAAGTCTTTTCTTTAATTTCAGGGAAAAAAGCATCCCTGAATTATTGTTTTAGCTATTTGTTCTCTTCCCCCGCTTTGTGTTTCTTCTTGGGGGACTGATTTGTATGTTGGACCTTCTTTGTCTACCTTTTATATCACTTTTTCTTTCATTCTTTAAATAATCTCCTCTCTGACTTTATTTTTTATTTTCTTCCTTTCCATTCCCTATTTACCTTATGATATTACCCATGGTGTCTACTCACCTCTTTATTCCTTCTATTTAGCTATTCCTCCTGAAATGTTCTGCTTTTCTTAAGCTGTCCTTTAGTCAGCTTTATTTTCAAATCTTTTTGTCTCACAATTGCACCTATGCTATTATTTTATCATATCTGTTAGTTCTTCATTTCTTTTAGCTTGTTTTGAAATATTAAGTTTCAGTATTCAGCTGTTTTGTGGTCCTCTGTGGAATGCATACATTACCTATAGGAATACTATTATGCTCAGGATTCTTTTTTTAAAATAGCTTTGTATGGGATTTGACATGATGCTTTTCTGTTGTTCATGTGCAGGTCAGACACATTTCCCTGCCCTCTTACAAGGTTTTCTTGTGTGGAGGAATGAGGATGATCCAGGGTAGATTTCCTAGCCTCACAGTT